AGCATCCAGGACAAAACCACACCGGACCTGGTCTCACCTCCATGCTGTGAAGAGTAGGAAGACCGGGAAGAAGTGGACCACTGCTTGGCAAATGCATCATCCGAGGAGGTATCGGTCCCTGCCTGCAGCTCAGCCTCCTCCTGACCGCCAGGACCATCTGGCTCCGGCTGCCCCTCAGGGCTGACCCCAGCCGCGGGTGGCTCCTCGCCCTCGCCACACTTGGCCATCTTCTGTGCCAGCATTCGCGCCGTCTCCTCCTCCAGCTGCCGGATATCCTCCATCGTCAGGTCCGTCCACTCATCCTGCCAGCACCAGGCTTGGCGGTGGGCGCGCAGCATCACCTTCCTCAAACCTAGGGGGAGAAGGGAGGAAGCGAGTCCAGCGTGATCCCACGGCTGCCCAAATGACCCTCCAGCAACCCACGGGTCCGAACTCACCCACGTCATGGATGAACTGCTCGATCTTGGACTGCATCCCCCAGTATCGGAACTCCACCTTGCAGAGCTTGTAGGCACACATGAGGGGCCCGCTGGCTGCTGCTGCCTCCAGCCAGTCATCCCCCAGTGGCCCCCGGCCCGTCTTGGATGAGTGGTAGAGTTTGGGATCCTCCTCGGGCTTGTATTCCCCGGGGGAGATGGGATCACGCACAATGTCAATGGTGTCTGTGGGGAGAACAGCACTTGTCACCCCGCAGCTTGGCAAGGGGGCACAGGTAGGAAAATAAGGAAAACGGGACAAAAATAAGGTCAAATTATTCATATGAGCCATGCACCCAACACAGCTGGCAGCAAACACTCTCTGTCTGAGAATTCTAAAATCTTGGAGTTCTGGAATCATAGAAACCTGGGATGGCTTTGGTTGGAAGGGACCTTATGGATCATCGCATTCCACCCTCTGCCATTGGCAGGGACATCTTCCACTATCCCAGGTTGCTCCGAGCCCCATCCAACCTGGCCTTGGACACTTCCAGGGATGGAGCATCTGCAGTTTTTCTGGGCAACTTATGTCAGGGCCTCACCATCCTCACAGGGAAGAATTTCCTAATAGAACATATAAAATCCCACGGCTAGGACATCACAGACACCCTTGGTGCAGCCAAAGACATCTCTGTCCCCACGTGGGACCCCAATCCAGCATTCCAGGGAGCAGCACAGGGAGGGAGGGTCTGGGAGCTGGGGAGAGCCGGGGCTGACACACCTACGTGCATTAGCTGGCAGACCTGGCAGCTGCAGAGTGACCCCAACCACCCTGGGGGACATGGGGGCTGAGGACAGGGACAGCACATGGGGCAGCTTGGCACAGCTCCCGGCTCCCCACCGCAAAAAGCCCGAGGGTCCCCCAAAAACAGGGCACAGCAAAATTACTATGTGACACAGGAGCCTCCAGAGAGCCAGAGGCGGGGGGAGGGCAATGAGCCCCATCCCCCAAAAAAAGTGACCTTTCCTGAAATGAGGGTGAGTTCCCCCCAGATGAGGATGACATTCCAAGACCCGAGAAAGGCTCCTGAACGACACTCAGGAAAACACAATCCAACAGCCATTCAGGCTCAATCCAGCACAAAATCTGCTAGAATTTGGCTTTCCCGGCCCCGTCTCCAGGTCATGGTTTGGGGGATCGCAGGGCACCCCACTGGCTCCCAGTACCGTCCCACAGCACTGTCCCCATTTCCAGGCTGTGCCAAACCCATTCATGTGTGCCAAACCCACCCCCTGATGTTCCCAAGGTGCTGCCAGCCTCTCTTCCTCCAGCTCGGGCTGAAAAAAGGGGGAAAAGAAAAATAGAGATGCCCTGAATCCACAAAAATGATGCAATGTGCAGCATGATGCCAAGCATCTTGGATAACAGCAGCAAAGAGCTGGGATAGGACCTGCTGTCCCCAAGCAGCTCCTGGCAGTGTCATTCCCATCACAATCCAACTCCCTTTGCTTTTGCCACGGGGAGAAAGCTGCCAAGGAAGCAGTTATCCCTGCGGATCACCCAGACCATGTTTTTCCATTGCCCTTTGAAACGTGAGAGGGGTTTAAATCTGTCAGTGCTACAAGACACCAGGGCAGAGAAATCCCAGAGGGATCCACTCTGGGGCTGGTCCCACTTCAACCCTTCTCCCTGTGGAAGGCAGAAGTCACTGGAGATGCTGAGTGCCCTGTGGAATGCCCACCGGATGGGCACAGAGAGTGGAAAACCAGGCAGTGGGCACAGGGCCATGCCCTGATGCCGTCTGCTTGGCCCTGGTGGCTTCCCAGGGGCAGTAGGGGCAGAATTCCTGCCCCCAGGTCCCAGCCGTTGGTGTCCCGGCCGGACATCCCCAGTGCCGCAAGAGCCGGGGAGAGAAATAGGTCAGATGAATCATTTCCTCCGAGTGCCTATTTTGGGCCTCCATTTTAAGAGGCAGCACGTCACATTCCACTCTCTGGCGCCTGAACTGACCATGTCCACACCACCAAGAACGGGAACTCGGTGGAGAGGGAAGACTCCCACCCCAAGCTCCCAGTTCTGCCCACCAGTCCCAGCAGAACGGAGCCAGAGAGTGATCTGGAGCAAAGCCCTGGGGAGAGGGGAAGCAGGGCAGGGAGTAGGAAAATGGGGACATGCTTTTCCAGCTCTCCCTGCTCCAGCTGATCCAAAATACCCCACAGGACCCAGGTGTGGGGTCGCATGTACGCCGAGAGAGACTAAGAAGGCAAATCCATGCCAGAACAAGGTTGGGACACGGAAGGAGAGGGGAGCAGGCTGGCACTAGAAAGGAGAAGCTGCAAACAGAAATAGAGGCAAGGGAAGAGGCAGAGGACAAAAATGTCCCTGAAAATATCTTTAATGTGGAACTTAAATCAGCAGCACTGAGAGGGAGCGGGCAGGGAGCTCGGAGCAGGGAGCTCTTCCCTTCCAGCACCCCTGAAACATTAGGACCAGCAAGAAGAGTGAAGTTGAGCCCCTAAGGCCCTGTCACAAGCACACACCCATCCCAGAAGCATTATGTGGGAATCTCAGCAGCCACAGTGCCCTGCCCAGCTCCCCAAGCCAGCCATACCCACCCAAAATCCTCTGCCTCTTCTCCGCCGCGCTCAGGTTGAAGATGTTGGTCTGCTGCCCTGCATCCGGGCGGTAGTACGTCTCGATCTCAATGGAAAACTTCTCCACGAAGGGACATGTGTACCTGGAGAGGCACAGGACTGAGCCCAGGGGCATGGCCAGTCCTGCAGCCCACCCCGCCGCCTCCCAGCTCCCACCTGGTGCGTGTGTAGGGATAAGCATTCCAGGACTCCTCCTCCACCTGGAGCGCAGCCTTGGGGAGCAGCGCCCGGAACCAGCTGGGGATGTGGGAGCCAACGTGGTAGATCTTGTGGGTGTACTGGCCGCTGCCCCCAGGGCCATCGCTGTAGGGTCGGTTGGCCAGGATCTCCACACCGCTGCCCTCGCCACTCGACTCCTCCCGGCTCTTCTTCTGCATGGAGACGATGGCTCAGTGCGGCCCCTCCAAGCCCCAAGACCCCACCCCCAGGGGCGCCCGGGTCCGTGTACACTCCTGCCCCCATGTGCCGGCACCCACCTGAAGCCTCAGTGAAATCCCTGCAACCTACAAGGGTGATCCCTTAGGATCAGCCTCAGCCCCCCGCCGTGCCCCTCCAGGCTCCATGCTCAGCCCTACAGCTCCCCAGCTCCCCACACTCAGCCCCACAGCCCCCTCACACCCTCCAGCACCCCATGCTCAGCCTGTGTCCCCCGTGCACCCCCAGGCTCAGCCCCTGCCCCCTTCATGCCTCCCCAGAGGCCACTACACCCCTCAGGCTACAATCTCCTGCCTCTCTCAGCCCCCTGCACTCCCTCAGTCACAGTCCCCAGATCCCTGCACCCCCCAGCTCCCCATGCCCAGCCCCACAGCCCTGTGCACCCCCTCAGGCTCGGCCCTTGGACCCCAGACCCCTCAGGCTCAGCCCCACAAACCCCATACCCGCGCAGCCGCCAGGCTCATCCCGCAGCCCCCTGCAACCCCAGCCCGCCCCGCTCGGCCCCGCAGCTCCCCCAGGCACTCATGCTCAGCCCCGCATTCCCACCTGGATCATGTACAGCTGGGCCACCTGGTACTCCTCCAGGCTCATGGGCAGCAGGATGTGGTACTCCTTGATCAGCATGGCGGCGGCGGGGCACAGCGGGGGCAGCTCCTGAGGGGGTTTCCGTTACACCGCACCGGGCCGGCTCCGGGACAGCTCGGGCCGGTTCGGTACCCCTTTAGAACCGCTCGGGGCACGCTCAGCTCAGCCCGGTACGGGTTCGGCCCGTCTCGGAGCCCCTCCTTCTCCGGGTTCGGTTCAGTCCGGTACCGCTCGGCTACGCTCGGCCCCGGGTTCGACCCGGCTCGGCACCACACTCGGCTGAGTCCGGTACCGCTCGGCACCGCTCGGCCCGGCTCGGAAAAGCTCGGCCCTGGGTTCGGCAGAGTCCGGTACCGCTCGGCTCCCGGTTCGGTTCAGTCTGGTACCGCTCGGCCACCCTCGGCCCCAGGTTCGGCCCGGCTCAGTTCAACGTTCGGCTCAGTCCGGTACCGCTCGGCCCCTCTCGGCCCCGGGTTCGGCCCGGCTCGGCCCCACTCGGCTCGGCTCCGTTGCCATGGCAACGCGGGCCCTCCACTCCCCCCGCCCGCCCNCCAAACCTGCGCCGCTCCGCACCGGCCCTTCGGATCGTGACATCACAGCCCGTTCCCACGGCGACAGCCGTGACGTAGGGAGGTGAGGGGGGGCCCCGTGACGTCAGAGAGCGGAAGGCAGCGAGCGCCACTCACGGGCGCTCCGCGTGTACCGGCGCCGCCGCCCCCGGAAAAACCCGGTGTTTTATTTAAAAAGCCACGTTTTTAAATGATCAGCGAGTGGTTCGATCACTCCTGCACTCTCAGCTCCGGGACACCACCCAGCGCGGCTCCAAACCCTCCCCCGACGGCCCCCCTCTACCCCGCGTCCCACCATCCCCATCGGGACCCACCCCCGCGGGGACACACCGAGGCCAAGTCCCAACATTGTCCTTTATTTATAAAAACACGCATTTATAAAGAGCGGAGAGCGCGGGGAGGGGGGGCTCGGGCAGCACGGCGGCCCCCCCGCCCCCGCCGCCACCACCGGGAGCTCCCGGGGGGTCCCGGCTGGCAGCTGCCGTTACGTGCGGGCGTTTCGCTCTGTCTCTGCCAGGCACTCCCTGACCAGCGCCCGGGCGTGGATGATCCCTGCGGGGAGAAGCACAGGGACACCTCGAATCACCCCTCCAGCGGCTCCCCGCGGGGCTGAGGAGCCTCGGGGGCGCAGCCCCGCGGCCGCCCGCTTCCCCACCCTGCCCCTACCCCGCTTCAGCCTCTCCATGGCGCTCTTGCTGCCGGCGTAGGTGGGCCGGATCTCCTTCCCCATCTCCTCGATGACCGAGAGCAGGTCGGTGTAGGTGCTCTGCGAGCCCTGCGCCCCGGGGGGCTTCATGGCCTGCGGGAACAGGGGGACGAGCAGGGACGGAGCGGCTGGGAGCCGCCCCCGCCGCCGCGCCCGGCCCCACCGGCCCCGGCGCCGCGCCTCACCTGCACGTAGCCCATGGACGGCGGCCCGAAGTCATTGAAGAGCGGCCGGAAAGGGGCGGCGGCGCCAGGGACGGAACCGGAGGGCGACGGGACACTCGTGGCTGCGAGAAACTGAGGGTCACGGCCGCACTCCCTCTTCCTCGGTACCTCCCTCAGCCGGTACCACCCCTTCCCGGGGTACCCCCCTCCACCCCGCCGGTCCCTCTCCGCTCCCGGTGCCCCCCGTCCCCCGCGGTTACCGCGGCGTTCTCTCACCGGCGGACGGTGCCCCGGGCCCCGGCGGGGCGGGGCTGGCGCTGGCGGCTCCGGGGGTAGCGGGGGCGGGAGCGATGGGCTTGTAGGACACCCCCGACGGCCGCCCGCCGCTCCCGGATCCCTGGAGCCCCGCGGCGGGGGTCGGCGTGCGGCCCCCGCGCTCGCCCCGCCGGTTGTATCGCCGGTGCCCGCCTCTCTTCAGCTCAGCTCGGCCCCGCTCGGCCCGGCGGGAAGCCGGGAACCGGAGCGGAGCGCGGCGGCCCCGGTTCCCGGTAGCGCTGCGCGGCCCCGGCCTGACCCGGGTCTCTCCCCCCTCCGCCGCCGGCGCTCGCGGTGATGACGCAGCCGCGTCACGAGCGCGACGTCATCACGCCGCCGCGCGCCCGCCGGCCGGTCACCGTGGAGACACGCGGCGTCGGCCCCGCCCCCTCGGTGCCTCTCCCACCACGTGACTTCTGAGTAGGCCACGCCCCTTCGCTCGGCGGGTCCTCTCGGGGGCCACGTGACCGACCGGCGCCACCGCCTCGAGGCACGGGGGGGCACCGGGAGCGGCACCGGGAGCGGCACCGGCGCTCTCCCCCCAACGCCAAGGGACCCCACAGCCCCCAGCCGCCGCCGGTCAGGGCGCCCCGACTCTGCGGGGGTGGACCTCGGCCCGGACTGTGGGGAACCGGCCCCACCCGCCGGCCGTGCATTCCCCGGAGCCCTGTGCCCGCGGTCCCGGCTCCCTGCGAGATTCCCGTGAGACTCAAGTCCAGGGTTTTGGGGGATACCAGTGGATAGCACGATCACAAATAAACTCTTTGGAAACAACATAAAACACAAACCAAAAGTCTGTGGAGAGAGTTTTATCATTTCAAAAGGGCAAAATCGGCCCAAAAACTGCAGCCAGGACAGGGAGGGCACCTACAGCAGCCCTGCCTGCAGCTGGCTGAGGCCCTTCCACCCAGGAATGCTTTATTTCTCTCCTGGAGGGTCTCCTGGCTGGGCTGCCAGGAGTCCCCCCTGTGCTGGGGGCTGCAAGAACATCCCTGAGGGTCTGTGCCAGCCCCGAAAGGGCAGGGATGCCTCACCCCAGGCAGGTCTGGGCTGGGTCTGAGCTCAAACCATGGTGACAGGGCGGGTTATGCTGTGCAGTCCGCATTAAACCTGGTGTGGGGGAGCCTGAGGGGCTCAGTGCGGCACACAGAGCAGGAAGGGAGGCTGGGGGGATGAGCAGCAGGGATGGGGAACAGCCGAAGGAGAGGGGACCACGATGGTGTGACTTCTAGGGTGGGAAGGGGGACGATGCAGGGAGAGAGCAGAGATGAGGGTGAGAGTAGTCGAAGCTCGGCCGAGCCTGTGCAGAAAAGGGTCCCGACTTCGGCCCCGGTGCCCCTCACCACGGTCAGACCTCAGCATCGGAGCAGCTCCGGCACCCAGCCTCGCCCAGGCACCGGCACCGCTGCGCCGGCACCGCCCCAGCCCCCGCAGCCGGGGGTCCCTCCGTGGCCCCCTCGTCTGTAAGGCACGGGGGGCTTGGGTCCCGCGTTGGCACGCACGCCCTCAGCGCGACATCATCCGCACAAACTCTGCCGGGGGGAAACACACACCTGCAACGTCCCAGATGTCCCTGCGGGCGCTCCTGGCCCCTTCCCTGCTCCTACCTTCGAAGTCCACCAGGCCATCGCCATTGAGATCCACGTCCTTGAGGATCTCATCCACCTCCCGGTAGTTGAGCTGCTGCCCCAGGAGCTTGCGCATGGCCTCCCGCAGCTCCGCCATGCTGATCTGTCCGTCCCCATTGGTGTCAAACTACGGACAAGGTCCCGTTGCCACCGGCCACGCCTGGCACGCTGGCAGCCAACCCGTCTGTCCCCGCCATCCCCGTACCTCACGGAAGGCGTCACGCAGCTCCTTGATCCCAATCATATCCGCGGTCTCCGCCAGCATCTTGGGGCCCATCAGCTCCACGAAATCATCAAAATCCACCTTGCCCCCGGCTGCGGCAGGAGAGGGGTGTCAGCGGGGCAGGGACAGGGATGGATGGGCACCCGCTGCCCCACCACGTACTGATCTGCTGGGACAGCTCGATCAGCTCCATCTCTGTGGGCATGTAGCCCATGGTCCGCATGCACTCGCCCAGGTCCTTGTAGCTGATGTATCCGTCGTGGTCCTTGTCGAACTCCCGGAACGCCTGCTTCAGCTCTGGGAACACCACAGCGTCACCACCAGCGCCCCGGCACCGCCACCCACCCGAGCGGGACCCCCTCCCCAGCGCCTCACCTTCGATCTCCTCGGGCCGCAGCTCCCGGTCCTGGGGAAGAGAGAACGGGAAGAGACGAAGGAGGGGTCCTACTCCCGGGAATCCCGCAGGGTTTCTGCCCTAAGCCCCCCGGGAGCACAGGCAGCACACGGGGAGGGGACGGTTGCGTACCCGTTGGGTGATGGCGATGCTCTGCCGCAGGAAGATGCAGGCCGGCCCCACCAGCCCCTGCAGCACCGAGTATCCCTGCATCGGGGGGGTCTGCGCCGCGTCCAGCACGTCCTCAGGGTCCCCTGCGCCGGAGCCTGGAGCGCCCGAGCGTGGCTTCCCATCCTGCGGGTGGAGCAGGCGTCAGCGGCGAGGGGGGGCCAAGCAGGGACGCCCCCCTCCTCCTCCTCCTCCTCCTCCTCCCGCTCCTGCCCCGCGGGGTGTCCTGCCGCACCTTGGGGAGCCGCCGCTCAGGGGTCTTGGTGCAGTTGCCCATGGCTGGGGGCTGCCCCCGAGCCGCAGGACATGCCTGGCCCCGGGGGGGGCTGGCTGGCGCAGACCGCGGGGCTGCCACCGGGGATTTGAGGTTTTTATGGAATATCTGGGGATATGCAGGGCAGGCGCGGGGGGGTGGGTGCCGCGCCCGCGTGCATAATCCTCCGGATTATTCCCCGCTCGCCCGCCCTGCTCCAGATGTGGGCAGCCGCCCAGCTGTTCCCCGGTCCCGCAGCCTCCCTGCGAGGGCACGCAGGATCCCCGGCACCCACCGTGCCCCGGCCCTGTCCCCGCTGCCGGTTACCTGCCCAAAAGCGGGGGACGGGCGGGGCCCCGGCCCCTCGGCAGCCCGCTGAAGCTCCATGGGGGACGCACCGCTACGGTTTAATCTGCCCTGGCTCCCCGCGGTGCCGGCGGTACCGGGACCCCTGAGCCGAGGGGCCGGGCGGGAGCCGCGGGCACCCCTCCGCCCGGGGCCGTGGCGCCGGGGGGTGCCCCGGCTGGTGGGGGGCGCGGGGCTGCCGCTGCCGCGCCGCTGCGGCCCGCGGAAGAGGAAGAACATTCCGCCCGCTCCTGCTCCTGCTCCTGCTCCCCACGCCAAGAGCCAAGGAGGAGGAAACCAGATCGCCCCGAACCTGCGCTCGTCCCTCGCAGGGACGAGGCCACCGCCGTCCCCGGGACGCGCCGCGGAGCGCAGGAGATCGGGTGGAGCGCAGCGACCCCCCGGGGCGCTGTGGGGGGAGCGGGGCGCCCCGGGGGGCTCGGCTCCGAAACCCGACCCGGGCCCGGGCGCGGGGCACGTGCCGGCGCGCCGCCAGCGAGACCACGCCCCCTCAGCGCCACGAGCCCGCCTCGTGAACGCCCACCCCGGTCTGGCCCCGCCCCCTCCATGCGGCCCCGCCCCCAAGCCGGTCCTGGTCCATCCTCTCTAGTGACGTCACTGGCGCGCCGCCGGCGCTCCCCCTGACGTCACCGCGGGGGCGGCTGAAGGTGACGGTGGTCGGTCCCGGTGCCGGTGCCCCCGCCATGGCCGGCAGGCAGCTGCTGGCGCTGCGGCGCCTGCCCGCCGCCTCCTTCTCGGTGAGCGAGGACGGCGCGGGGAGCGCCGGGACCATGCGGTATCGGTCCCGGTGTTGCCGGTGCTGAACCCGCGTGTCCCCGCAGACGGCGCCCAAGAAGACGCAGTTCGGATCGCTGCGGGATGAGGACCGGATCTTCACCAACCTCTACGGGCGGCACGACTGGCGGTGAGTAGCGGGAGCAGCGCGGGGAGCGCCGGTGCCCCGTGCCCGGTGCCCCGTGCCCGGTGTTACCGTGCCTGGTGCTACCGTGCCCGGTGCCCGCAGGCTGCAGGGCGCGCTGCGCCGCGGCGACTGGTACAAGACGAAGGAGATCCTGCTCAAGGGCGTGGACTGGATCCTCGGCGAGATCAAGACCTCGGGGCTGCGGGGCCGCGGCGGCGCCGGGTTCCCCACCGGGCTCAAGTGGAGCTTCATGAACAAACCCCCGGACGGGAGGTGAGAGCGGGGCCGCGCAGCTCCGGGCGCTCCCCCGGCCCGGGGAGCCCCTGACGTGAGCTGCCCGCAGACCCAAGTACCTGGTGGTGAACGCGGACGAGGGCGAGCCGGGCACCTGCAAGGACCGGGAGATCATGCGGCACGACCCGCACAAGCTGCTGGAGGGCTGCCTGGTGGCCGGGCGGGCCATGGGCGCCCGCGCCGCCTACATCTACATCCGCGGGGAGTTCTACAACGAGGCCTCCAACCTGCAGGTGCGGGAGCGCCCCACGGCCCCACACAGCCCCCGGGGCGCTCCCGGGCTCACCCCCTGCCCCCTGCAGGTGGCCATCCGTGAGGCCTACGAGGCCGGGCTGCTGGGCGGCGACGCTTGCGGGTCGGGATACGCCTTTGACGTGTTCGTGGTGCGCGGCGCCGGCGCCTACATCTGCGGGGAGGAGACGGCGCTCATCGAGTCCATCGAGGGCAAGCAGGGGAAGCCCCGCCTCAAGCCCCCCTTCCCCGCCGACGTGGGTACGGCCCCACAGCTCCGTCCTGAGCTCCCAGCTGCCACCCCTAAAAAGTTGTCCCCAGGACACCGTCCTGCTTCAGGGACAACACCACAGCCAACACCACGTTCATTAAGAGCTCCCACTGTTTGATAGAATGGTGGGGGTTGGAAGGGAGCTGGAAAGACTGTCTCATTCCACCCCACTTCCATGGGCTGCATGATTCCATGTTGATCCAAGCCCTATTGAACCTGGCCTTGGACACTTCCAGGGATGCGGCAGCCACAGCATCTTTGGGCCGCTTGTGCCAGGGCATCACCACCCTCACGGGGAGGAATTTTTTCCTAATGTTCCCCCAGGTGTGTTCGGCTGTCCCACCACGGTGGCCAACGTGGAGACGGTGTCGGTGGCCCCCACGATCTGCCGGCGCGGCGGCGCCTGGTTCGCCAGCTTCGGCCGGGAGCGGAATTCCGGCACCAAGCTCTTCAACATCTCGGGGCACGTCAACACGCCCTGCACGGTGGAGGAGGAGATGTCGGTGCCGCTGAAAGAGCTCATCGAGAAACACGCCGGTGAGTGCCGCGGCCGAGCCAGGCCGGAGCGGGGCTGGAGCTGCCTGTCCTGACCCTCCTCTTTGCAGGAGGTGTCCGCGGGGGCTGGGACAACCTGCTGGCCGTCATCCCCGGCGGCTCCTCCACACCGCTGCTGCCCAAGTCTGTGTGTGAGACGGTGCTGATGGACTTCGATTCCCTGGTGCAGGCGCAGAGCGGGCTGGGTACGGCCGCCGTCATCGTCATGGATAAATCGGTAAGGGATGGGCCCCCCGACTCCCCCAGCCGCGGGGGGACCCTCACCTTCCTCACCCTCCCTCTCTTCCCAGACCGACATCGTCAAAGCCATCGCGCGCCTGATCGAGTTCTACAAGCACGAGAGCTGTGGGCAGTGCACCCCGTGCCGGGAGGGTGAGTGGGGGCCGTGGCTGAGGGGCTGCGGGCGGGGCACCGCAGGGACCCATCCCCACCCCGATTCCCGCAGGCGTGGACTGGATGAACAAGGTGATGGCGCGGTTTGTGCGGGGCGACGCGCAGGCCGCCGAGATCGACGCGCTCTGGGAGATCAGCAAGCAGATCGAGGGACACACCATCTGCGCCCTGGGCGACGGCGCGGCCTGGCCCGTGCAGGTGAGGGTCCAGAGGGATTGGAGGGGCCAGCAGCCTTCCCCCACGCCATTAACAATTCTCCCGCTCCATGCAGGGCCTCATCCGCCACTTCCGCCCCGAGCTGGAGGAGAGGATGCGGCGCTTCAACGAGGCCAAAGCCCGAGCGGCGTCAGGATAAGGATTCACCACCACACCTCCCTTCTCCTGCTTGGAAGGGGGTTCTGGGGTGCTGGCAGCACTCAGAGGGTTCTCAATAAATGCTGCTGTGCTCCCAGGCTCTGCTGTGGACATTAAATGGTAGGAAGGGACTGACGGGGCAGAGGGCCTCTGGGTCCTGCTGCCCCTGGAGCAGGAGATCCCCAGGGATCATGGTGTCACACAGCTGGGGCCTGGATACCCCAGAGGGGAGATCCCAGATTTCCATGAGGCTGGGGCAGAGGCGATGGCTGTAGGGCACTAACAGACAGTCCCTCCTTGGGGACCCCACACTCCCTGTCCCCGCTGCAGTGGCACCAGGACTCCTCCTCCTGTGCCCGTGCCAAGGGACAGCTGTCTTGGCCACACTCCACAAGTCAGAGCCCAGGGCAGTTCCAAACATGGCTTTTACTGAATCACAGTGTGCGACATCACTGCAGGGCCCGGAGCCGTTTCCCCCGTGCACGGTGGAGAACCGAGGCACAGGAACCCCACAGCCCCCCCTGCCCTCCCCGCTCAGGCCGGGCCTTTCCGGGCAGGCACGTGGGTCTTCCTGCGGTAGCGGCCAGGCACCAGCAGCTCCAGGGTCAGCTCGGTGATGATGGCTGTGAGCCCCCACACCTTGTGGGGGCCGTTGAGGAACACGGGCAAGGTGTATCCGTAGCCGCTGGCCGTGCGGAAGTGGGTGTAGCCCTGGTTCTCCTCGCGGAGCAGGTGAGCCAGGGGCAGCGTGAACACCTCCTCCACCTGTCAGCACAGACCGCAGTGACCGGAGCGGCTGCCACGGGAAGGGGAGCAGCCTGGGGAGGAGTCACTCACCTCATCAGGGTTGGGGTTCAGAGTCAAGGCCTCCAGCGGCCCCAGGTTGGCCACAACGGGCGCCACGGTCATTCCATGCTGGAAGGTGTGTCAGCAAGGGACAGGGTGACACCTCCTCCCCAAAGTGCCCGTGCCTGACCACCCTGCACCCAGTGCAGGCACCCACCCTTGTGTGTCACCCCCTCACCAGTGCCACTGCCTTGTGTCCTATCACCTTCAATCCCCAGAAATCTTGTCACCCGTATTCCTGCTGACCTGTCCCTGTCACCCAGAATCGCCGTCACCTGTAACACCCGTCACCCGTGTTCCCCCGAGTCTGCCACACGTGACCCTGTTGCTTTGTCCCTGTCACCCATGACCCTGCTGCCTTTTCCCTGTCATTCCAATCCTCTGCTGCCTGCGACCCCCCCTCACCTGTGTTCCTGTCCCCCTGGACCCCAGCCACCTGCACCCTGTCACCCAGAGCCCCTCCTCTGTCACCTGTGTCCCTACTGCTTTGTCTCTGTCAACTGAACCCCTTCCTTCTCTGTGTCCCTGCGGCCTTGTTCCTGTCTCCAAAACCCCTGTCACCCCGTGCCCTTGCCACCCCAAAGCCATGACGCCAGAACCCTTGTCCCTGTACCTTGAACCCGTCACCAGTGACCCTGCCGCCTTCCCTGTCACCTTGAACCCACCCCGTGTCCCTGCCCTTTTGTTCTTGTTCCCGCGCCTCCAAGCCCCGCCGATCCCCAGTACCCGGTCGGGCAGCGTCCGAAGCTGTCCCCAGACGCTGGTGGCTGCCACCGCCACCCCCAGCTCCTCCCGCGTCTCCCGCAGAGCCGTGGCCACCGCGTCCCCGTCCGCCGGGTCCCGCCGCCCACCGGGGAAGCTGCGGGAGGGATCGGGGGGGTCAGGGCCGGCCCGGCCCCGGTGCCCGCTCCCCCCGCCGGTACCTGACGTCGCCGCTGTGGGGGCCGGCGAGGCGGCGGGAGCGGAGCGTGAAGAGCAGCGCGGGGCGGCCGCGCACCGAGCACAGCGGCACCAGCACCGCGGCCGCCGCCGCCGCGCCCCCCGCGCCCCC